TCAACTGGCAGTCATCAGAAGTAGCCTGCAGTACTGCATTCTAACCACTGCGCCGCCATGGCTCTTTGGTATGAGAATATAATTGAATACAATTGGTATATTCTGTTTGTAATTCTATGTCAACAATTCTTTGTTTACAAGCTATCTTTGCATAATCTTCCAGGTGCATCAGCATCTCACTGGAAAACCCCAATTCATCGTTTATTTGGAGTTTTCAAGAATTATCTGACAAGATATTTTGACCTTTATGTTGAAAATGAGCTTCTAGCCAATACCTAAGTATATGCAGCCCCTTTTTAAATTTTTTTATAAAGTTCCCTCCAAACATAAGAGCAGTGTTAGGTACACCTTTTGCTACCTGAAATAGCTTTCTTAGGAAACCAGTTCAAACTTTCTCCAGTTTCTCATATTTGATTTTTTCAGGAGTTTGTCAACCCTACACTTAACGGGAGAATTGCTAATAAAAGCTGAGACACGTTTCAGATTCCTCTTGTTTTCGTTTGTTTGTTGCAAACTTCAAAGGGGCTCATGTAAAAACTTCATTTAAAAAACATTTTTAAAAGAAATCAATAATAAAAACATGCAACATTATACAAATCAAATAGGCATAGATGTAGCATTTCAGTGGGAGCTTTCCTCTCCTCATATTCTAAATGATTTATAGCAGTTTCAAGAAGGTAATGAAGAAATTGTTGGTTTTTTTTTCATGTTTTCCATGAGGTGGGATCATAGTATTTCTCAACCTCAACTAGCTGTCTTCTTACAGGAAATGGGATTTAAAAGAGTGAGTGGGAGAGGCAGCAGATAATGGTTAGCAGCACACACTAAGTAAACTAGATAGGATGGTTAACTCAGGGAACTGAAGATAAAAATATAGGGTTCACCCCAAATTAAGAAAATAATGCCTGTAAAATAAAGGATCCTCCTTCAAAACTTTGTAAGAAGCAGCTAACCAGTGTATCACTTAAAAAGTACACTTGTTTTTGTTAGGAAAGATAAATTTCTTCATCCATAGATTGTTCTTTTAAAAAATCCTGTGCTCATTCTGCAGTTCGGCTGTTCAAATCTCACCGGCTCAAGGTTGACTCAGCCTTCCATCCTTCCGAGGTGGGTGAAATGAGGACCCGGATTGTTGTT